TTTATTATTTTTATTTTATGTGTATGAGTGTATTGCCTGCATGTATGTGAGTGCACCCCCATGTCGTGCAATGTCTCAGAGGTCAGAAGAGGGCTTCAGATTCCCCTGGAACTGGCCCCTTAAACAATCTTTTTACATATACTGAGTATGAAGTCAACTGAAGCCACTATGATTTCCTTTCAAGGGACAAAAAACTTATTTTTCAACCCTTTTTCAAATTAGATAAGTAAAAGTTATACTGAGATTTGAATAAAACTAAATAACTTAGCAATTATTTGGATAGGCAAATGTTCCCTTCCATAGATAGCAAAGTTAAGGAGACTTAGCCAATATTGCAGGATCCAATAAAAATCTGGGATCTTTTGTGAATGATACGATTTTAAAGTGGATCTGTCAGAAACAAAGATTTATGCTTATTCTACTATAAGACTTGCTAAATAAATTTGAAGCTACAAAACCGTAGTAGGAAAATACAGGAGAGTTAGTGTGAATCATCTATTTGAAGCATAGTAATTGACGTCTGACTCAAGTATTCTACCAAGTGAAAGATGATTTAAGATATAGAGGATGGTGCCATCAGTCAGCTCCTAATTGAGGACAGTGAGATGCGAGTCACTACAAATTGTTTCCTGTCCAAAGTATTCCTTGTGATGAGTAATTTGTAGTGTGACTCCCTATCAGTTACCTCTACTAGAGACAAGATGTACTAAAGCCATTGGTTACTTTATCTTTAGCACTGTAGTGAATGGTTGTGGAGCCAGAGAAATAACATTTCCTAGGAATGTTCTGAGGAAGTCATGAGATTTTCAGTCAGCGATGAATGAAAACGAGAGCAAGAAAATAAAGCCTGTGTTGAGAGAGGAGGCAGAGTACAGGGATGAGGAAACTGGCTATGAATTTTGTAGCAGTACGCATTTCTCCCTATTATATTTCATTCTAGGAAGCAGCACGTCTATGTTTTGCTAGGTGGAATAGTCTCTTCCTTTCCCATTTCCCTGAAGTATGTTTCTACAGAGAGAATGGGGAGTTCTTACTAAAGTTTTTCTCCCTCAGTTTGGTTCTAACAGTTGTCTTTAATTTTTCTCCTGCAGTTTTGGTCTGGGGCTAAGTTTTCTGGAGTTCTGCACAATTCAATTATCATTTATTCAACATCATCCAAAACAGGTGCTCTCTGATGGGCCATGTGCAGGATTCATGGAGATGAGAGAGACAAGGAATCTTCCTCTTCCAGGAGCTCGCAGTGCTATAGACTCACAATACACTGATAGTGTAAACAAAGTATTATGTGAAGAGAATGAAGGAGCTGTTGATCCTACTCCGTGGCCTGAGAGGCTTTGTGCGAAAGATGCAGGAGCCTTGAAAGCCTTGAATGTAGTAATATTTGAAAAGCAGTGATGGTGGGAAGGACGCATGACT